CAACAACAACAACACCACCAACAACAACACCACCAACAACACCACCACCAACAACAACAACACCACCACCAACAACAACAAAAACAACAACAACACCACCAACAACACCACCACCACCAACAACAAAAACAACAACAACAACAACACCAACAACAACGCCAACAACTACCACTTGTTTTTGCATATACAATAATGTAAAATACCAAGCAGGTAAGTACTTCCTTTATGACATTTCTTCATCCATCGTTGCTTAATTTTTTGATTTATAATTACTTTGATTTTGATACGTTTTAATTTATCTTTTAATTGATGTATTAATCTGGATACATTTTGATCTTTTAATAGTTCTATCTGCAAATTGTTCATGTTAATTCTAGGGTCAACAATTAACCAACCTGATGAGTGCTATACTACTTATTGCAACTCTACTTGCAATGTTGTACAAAAGATGAAATTTGACAACAACACGGTAATAAAAAAATCTACAGACAGTCCTCACACACAAAAAAAAATAGTCATGAAGTGAATTATCATCCTTTTTGTTAACGTTTGTTTATCAATATTATTGAATTCTTATAACAGATCGATGGATGCAATATCAAAACATGCAAAAATGGAAAACTCACATTAAATCCTGTGCAATGTGATCCAGTTGTAGTTCCTAAATGTGTCAATGGCCTTCAACCTGTGAAGGCGTATTATAACAATGGGTGCTGCTTCAGATATGAGTGTGAATGTGAGTTTAAATCATAATTTTTGTTTAATTAATTCTTAAAAGTTATAAAATTACACTGTTTTTGGAAGTGAATTACATTTAACTCATGTTTCTTGAGCCAACAGGTTTCTGCAAGGCCTATGGCGACCCTCATTATAGAACTTTTGATGGACAATATTATACTTTTCAAGGAAACTGCACTTACGTGTTGATGGAAGAAATCATCCCAACATACAATATCAGTGTTCATCTTAAGAACTATTATTGTGATGTTGTGAAACGTATTGCATGCACACAATATGCAATTGTTTATTACAACTCCTACAAAATCCTGCTGAACAGCACTAATGATAAAGTGGTCCATGTACGTATCAGATAACATTGTTTACAGACACCCAGAGTCTCTTGAGTAACAACTACATTATCAAAAATACACATTTTTCTAAAATACAAGCCTACTTTCTGACTCACAAACTCCACTTTTACCCACAAATGACAGAGTTACCTACCAGTCCTACTGTATATGATTTCTATACATAAAGACAGTCATTAAGAGATGTTTTTCAGTGCTGTTATGAGTTTGCACTGCAATACTGTACTATAGCATTTAATGGTATACAAAGCGTTACATGTTTTAACATATTTATTTTCCCTTAGGTCTATGTTAATGATCAATTGAAGATTCCAACATACATAACTGATAATTTCATAATCACCACCACTGGAATTGCAGCGACTGTGAACATCACTGACATTAACGTTCAGATTACAGTCAGCGCTGTAGACGTCTCAGTCAAACTCCCTTCTTCCTACTTCCGTAAAAATACAAAGGGACAGTGTGGTGAGTATAAATCTGTGAAGTAAATATGTTTTACATTACAAATGTTTATCATCAAAGCTGGTGAAGCGTCGAAAACTTTTCTTGCTTAACAAAACAAGCTTAAAAAATGTATTCAAAATGCTAAATATATTAAGTGGTTTTGTTTATAAGAGTAACAAAGTTTCTTATCTGTTGGCTCAGTCTGAATATTTACTTGTTGCTTTTGAGTTGAATGGTAAAATTTGTTCTCCATTCTGATTTATTATAGCTTAAAATACAGTTTGTCTTCCACACATATATACAGTTAGGTCCATAAATATTTGGACACATCTAACATTGTTGTCTCTGTACATCAACACAATGGATTTGAAATGAAAGTAAGATGTATTTTAACCCCTGACTGTCAGCTTTAATTGGAGGGTATTTACGTCCAAATCAGTTGAATGCTGTAGGAATTACAACAGTTTGCATATGTGCCTCCCACTTGTTAATGGTACAAAAGTAATTGGACAATTGGCTTCTAAGCTGTTCCATGACCAGAAGTGTGTTGTTTCTTCAATATCCCAATTAGAATGAGCAGATAAAAGGTTCAGAGTTCATTTCAAGTGTGCTATTTGCATTTGGAATCTGTTACTGTTAACTCTCAAAATGAGATCCAAAGAGCTGTCACTATCAGTCAAGCAAGCCATCATTAGGCTAAAAACCAAAACAAACCCATCAGAGAGATAGCAAAAACAACGGTTTGGAGCATTTTTAAAATTAACGAATGCACCAGTGAGCTCAGCAACACTATAAGAGTCCTGGGAGACCACAGAAAAAAAACTGTTGAAGAACCATTTACAACAGTTTGCTAGATTAATAACACTCTCCAGGAGGTAGGTGTATGTGTGTCAAAGTCAACAATCAAGAGAAGACTACACCAGAGTGAATACAGAGGGTTCACCATAAGATGTAAACCACTGGTGAGCCTCAAAAACAGCAAGGCCAGATTAGAGTAAAAAAAAAAAAACCTTCAAAGTGCTGGAACAACATCCTATGAACAGATGAGATCAAGATCAACTTGTACCAGAGTGATGGGAGAAGAAGAGTATGGAGAAGGAAAGGAACTGCTTGTGATCCTAAGCAGTGAAGCATGGTGGTAGTAGTGACATAGCGTGGACATGTGTGGCTGTCCTTGATAGTGGTTCTGTTGTATTTATTGATGATGTGATTGCTGACAAAAGCAGCGGGATGAATTCTGAAGTGTTTCAGGCAATATTTTCTGCTCGTATTAAGCCAAATGCAGAACTCATTAGGCGGTGCTTCACAGTGCAGATTGACAATGACCCAAAGTATACTGCAAAAGCAACCAAAGAGTTTTTGAAAGGAAAAAAGTGGAATGTTATGCAATGGCCAAGTCAATCACCTGACCTAAATCCGATTGAGATTGCTTTTCACTTGCTGAAGACAAAACTGAAGGAAAAATGGCCCAAGAACAAGCAGGAACTGAAGACAGTTGCAGTAGAGGCCTGGCAGAGCACCACCGGGAATGAAACCCAGCATCTGGCGATGTCTATGAGTTCCAGACTTTAGGCTGTAATTGCCTGCAAAGGATTTGCAGCCAACTATTAAAAAGTAAAATAGTTTGATTATTAATCTAATTACTTTTGGATCCTTAACAAGTGGAAAGCACAACTGCAAACTGTTGCAATTCCTACAGCGTTTACCTGATTTGGATGTAAATACCCTCAAATTAAAGCGGACAGTCTGCAGTTAAAGCACATCTTGCTTGTTTCATTTCAAATCGATTGTGTTGATGTATTGAGCCAAAAATGTTAGAATTGTATCCATGTTCAACTGTAAATATATTGTTCTGTTGATAATTACAGGTTATTGTGACAACAGCGTCACAAATGACTGCCAATATCCTAATGGAACATTCAGCAGTTCATGTGAGAAAGTTGCAGCGTTTTGGAATGTCTCTCAATGTACACCTCCATCTACACCTCCGGTTCCAACTGTACCTACAGTTGTACCTCCCTGCGAAATCCTCAAGAGCGAGTAAGGCAAAGGACAAAGAGTTTGACCCCAATGCAAGCATTATTAACAGGGGTTCAAATAACTATTTTTGTTTCGTTTCTTTATGGAATACCTGGACATGTTGCTTGGTACAGCCAACAGTCATATTCATATAGATATGCCCATTTTCCAATATTTTGAAATACAGGTTGCATATTTGTACTTATGTGACATTTATTGCTTTGATATGTAAAGATGAAACTAAACAAAAATATAAACAAACTTCTAAACCTAAATCAAAACATTTTAAATATGCGATTTGCATATTTTGCCATATCTCAGATTGCTATATGAGGGATAAGCTGCTGCTGTTACATTTTGGCCTGATTGCCTGTCTTTCACCTGAGTTCGATTGGCTCAGTGTTGTCAAAACTATGTACGTTTACACATATATGCAAAAACAGAAGTAGCGTCGCTTGGTGATTTCCAAAAATAAAATTCATTTTATTAAACTATTAGAATGACCATATTTGACCTATAACCTACATGAGTAGTTAATAGCTACGTAAAACAACAACAAGAAAATGAAAATAAATCAGCCTTTCTCATTTTAAAATGTTTTTATTTATTTATTTAGTTATTTATGCGACCCCTGGGGTGATTATTAAAGTGACAGCACATTGATTTTATGGCACCAGGTTAAACTTTCTAACACCTTTACGGCACTCACATACATTAAAATTAAAGACAGGCTAAGACTGAGCATAGAGGATGGTCTCTGAATAGCGTTCTTCAAAATTAAATGAGGAATAGACTTGGTCCTATTGGTATGTGTGTGCCGTTGTGTGCAAAGTTTATAAATTTATAACTCCCTCAGAAAATATTGGCAGTCATAAGTCATTGGCATTGTAATTTTGGGTTGCGGGCTGAACATTTTGGGAACTCCTGCTTTAAGTAACAAGGTTTCGAATGGCTAATATCACAGTTACACAATAGCACTTCTCTAGCATGATATTTGATCCACATTTTTTTTTACTGTGCATGTGCACATGCATACTAGTTATGTGAACCTTTTGATTATTAAATTAATTTAAACCAAGATCTTCATTTAGTTTACCTATTTTTGTTCAGTTTTTCGCAGTTTAAGGGACAATTAACCCAAAAATTAAAATTCACTTACTATTTACTTGCCATAAAGTGGTTTCAAACATTTGAGTTCCTCCTTCTGTTGACTAAAAAGAAGATATCTTGAAGAGAGCTGAAAACCTGTTACCATTGAAAAAAAACGCTTACAGGTTTCTAACATTTTTCAAAATATCCTCTTTTGGGTTTAATGGAAGAACGAAGCTCATCAAAGTTTGAAACAAGTAAAGAGTGAGTAAATGAAGACAGTATTTCAATTTTTGGGTGAACTATCTCTTTAAGATGACTATTTCTTTGGGCTCACTTTTCTTGTCTTTTGTTTACAGTTTGTTTAAAAGCTGCCGTGATGTCGTTCCCTTCAAAGAGTATTATCAAGCATGTAAATATGATGTGTTCACTATGGGAAACAAGTCTTATGCCTGTGCTACTGTTGAGTCCTACGCACAACTATGCGGCCAAAAATCTATCTGTGTGGACTGGAGAAGCTCACCTGAACTTAAAGGGCTCTGTGGTATACTCACTCACACATTCATGATTGTAGTAATGTTTACTTGTATGCATGCATTTGATTTTACTTTCACTTTTGTAATTCATACATTGTGTCTGACGAGAGTCTTGTCTTTGGTTTCTTAAACAGATTTCAAGTGTCCCAGTTCCAAAGTCTACAAGGCATGTGGACCGAAAGTGGAACAATCCTGCAGTACATCGTAATACACCTCATTAAAATCCAAAATAATTTAATTATCTGCAATATGTTTCGCTTTTATATCTAAAATTGCATTTTAGCCGTCTTTATAGCTGACAAACCTCTACTATTTTTCATCTAGGTACAATACTATGTATGCGGATACACAATGTCAAGGCGACAATTGTAATCAAACATCATCAGAAGGTTGCTACTGTCCTGATGGCCAATATCGGGTTAATATGACATCAAATTTGTGCACAGCTTACTGCGGTAAGCACTGTTTTTTTGTTAGCTTTTCTGAATTGGCAGTTTAATGCGGCATGATGTCATATTTTTAGTGGTATTTTTTGTTTGCTCTTTGCAGACTGCATTGGCCCTGATGGATCACCTAGAAAGGTATGTCACGTTATTGTGCAAAGAAACAGCAGTGCTGTTTTCTTAGAAACATCTTAGCTGTTAGCAGGAATTAAATAGTTTATTGAAGGACAGATCAATTAAATATGTTGGGCAGCTCTGGAGTTTTTTTTTTCTTCTCCTACAGCCTGGGCAGATCTGGACATATCAGTGCTACAACTATACATGCCAAAACACCGGTGTCTATGTGAAAGTTCCTGTAACGTGTCCAACTATAAAGCCCTGTGGTGATGGATACAAAAGCTCTGTTGAAAACTGCTGTCCAACTTGTGGTGAGTCTTCAAGATTTGATAAAGTGTTGTAATTTAAGATTAGATTAATTAGAAAATAATTAGATTAACTGTCAGTAAAGTATAAGCAGGTAATGATTCAAAGACCCACAAGTACTTAATGGACAAATGATTCGTCTACTGTAGTTTGAACCTGCTTGTGTGCCCAGACACCAAACAAACATGGAAACGCCTGATATTTCTACCATTTTGAGCTAATACCGGCCAAACACATATAATGATTCAATTATATTAATCAATATATTCTTTTTTCATTTCAGTTTGTGATTATGAGCAATGCCTTAAGAAGAAATGTGATGTGGGATTTGAGTTAGGCTTGAATAAAGCTAATGGCAGCTGCTGTCCACCCTGCGGTAAGTATCAAATCTCATATACATTCCTATATTAGCAAACTATTATAAAAATGCAGGTACAAATATGCTGAAAAGAATAGCTTGAGCCTAAAAAACATATTACTTTCCTAATTTGCGTCTCCACACATTTTTTTATGCACATGAATTCAAGATGTTGGAAGACAAGTGGAGAAATTGGTTGTTTTTTTGTTTCCGTGTAACATGATTGTGTCACAAATGTAGTCGATGGCACTTCTACCAATTTGGATCTAATATAACGGTGGTTCTCAACTGGTCTGGAAATGCGACCCACATTTTTTCTAAGGTCATTAAGCTGAAAACTAAGATTTTGGGTCGATTTTACACCTGTTTCCTGCCAGCAATGAACCCATTGGCATTTTGTCGCATTTCACCCACTAAAAATAAAGGAGGCGCTCGCAAATGCCTAAAAGTCCTAAACAGACTTTAGGAGAACGTTTTTTTTTTCTCTCAAACACATGGCTCGCATCTTTCACAATCATTGGTGCGACCCACTCAATATGTTACTGTGACCAACTTTTTTGGTTGTAACCCAACATTAGTATTTCTTAATAGGTGCTAAATGTCTTCAGCATACTTGAAATATAGCATATAAGTTGAGTAATGCTACATTCATAGTGCCTTTGCATTCTTTTTATCTTTAACCAACACAAATGCCAAGCCAATTTGTGCTTCAAGAAACATCTAAACATAGACTGCTTGGATAAAACAAGGCTAAATTTGGTCTGTCAGTAAAAATCCACATCTAAGAACAGCCCAACACTAGACTAGTCATCAAACACACACATTAGACGGACTTGACGTGTAGTCATTCATTCTGGTGTATTTGATGACTAGTCTATAGTTTTGGGCTATTTATTCTTAGACGCCTGTTAGATTTTCACCCAAATTTAGCCAATTTGTCTAAGTATAGATGTCTTTTATCTTCATAGCACATATATTCCAGTTCATCATCATTTATTCTGTTGCTTTTAATGGTGAACATTCATTTTTGATCTTTTCTATAACCAATCTATTTCCTTCTGTTCAGTGCGAAAAGATGTCTGTGTGTACAATAACACCGAGTACAAGGTGAGCTGTTTGGTTCATAATTTTAAAATAAAGCATTCTAGATTAGGCTTTTATTTATCATTTAAGTATTTTGTGATTATTTATTTTCTTCGTTAGACAATAAATCTGCTCTTCAGTGCTGTCTTTCTGTCTTTTGTTAGGTTGGCGTCTACTATTTCACATGTCAAACTTTGAACTGTCGTCAAGTTAATGGCTCATTTGTGGCAGAGATGACCACAAATCCATGTCCTTACATGAGTTCACAAGACTGTGGGCCTGTAAGTACAATCTAGTTTATTAAATATTTGTCTGTTGCATTCATACTAGAGATTTTCAGAATTTTTTGAACATCACTTTGAACTCTCATTCTAATACTTAGACATGGAAAAGTCTGTAATTTGAAAATGCAGCGAAAGGTTCTACTAATTTGTTAAAACTGCTTATAAATGTGTTTGGTTTCACACACCAAAGGTGATATACTTGTTTTCTATAATGTATATGGCGGATTGTGAAGCTGTTATTTCTGCTTCATATTCAAAAAAGTGTCAAAATTGAGTCTGATTAATTAAAAAAAACACTCTTGAATCCATGGGTGAATCTGGGTGCTTTCACACCTGCCTTATTTAGTTCGATTGAATCGCACTAGAGTTCGTTTTCTCTTTTGGTGCGGTTCGTTTGGGCAGGCTAGAATGCAGCAATCGTACTCGAGTGCGCACTAAAAGCGGACTAAATAAGCTTAACGAGACCAGCTTGAAGAGGTGGTCCTGATGGATCGTTGGTAATATTTCCGCAAGATGACCATATCGCAGTTTAGCTAAATTAATTCACGCCTCCTCCTGAAGTGACGAGCGATGCATTAAAACACTGTTTTCCAGCCGCTGCCACGCTTCATTCTCGGAATGTAAAGTTTGTCTAAAGCAGGGATACAATCAGCCATCGCAGTCGTCCATCCAGAGTAAAAATGACATCTCCTGGTTTCGTTTACCTGCGGGAGTTCATTAGCATTTTCCCGCACATGAATTCTGACCAATCAATAAGCAGTTTAGGAAATATGTTCAACAACATCTGGCCAATGAGATGTGGACTTTGTCAGATGAGTGCATTTTGGTTCGTTTCAACTGGTTTGGACCAAGGCAATCAGTGTGGTGTGAAAACGACCCAAAGACGGCAGAAAATGCAACAATGTATCATTTATTGCCCTTTGTGCGGACCAAATGAAGCGAACTACAGATGTGAAAGCACACACTGAATCAGTCAACCAATGAATCATTGAAAGCAAAATATTGATGAGAATGCAGGCTGTCTTACTGAGCTGTGAATCAGTTTTTGGTTCAACTTGATTTTAATCACTGTATAGCACTGACTATCTATTGTTTCTATACTAAGAGACAAACAGCAGTAACATGCCACTGAATTATTAAAACTATAATAAATATATTTATATTGTCTTTATCTCGCTCTCTTAGGGCTTTGATTATGTGAAAAAATCAGAAGATTGTTGCGGAACATGTGTGCAAACTAAATGTACTTACATGATGGACAACACCACATACACTCTTCAGGTACATTTCAATACATCTGTCAACTTTTCTATATTCTTTTAGTTCATCGACTTATGAATCTGCACTTTTCTTCAGCGCTCTTAAACACTCTTTGTGTTTTGTTAGGTTGGAGAAGTCCAGAGTTACAAATGTGAAAATGTGACCTGCAGTGTCATCAGTGGCTCTCCAGTGACTGAGAGGAACTCTGAGAAGTGCACTTACTTGAGCTCACTTGACTGTAAACTTGTAAGTAGAATCTCTGTTCAATTTTTATACATTTATTTTTATGCGTTTCATTTATTCACTAAACTAAACTCAACGGCTGTACTTGACAACAACGTTTTGTTAACATGTTGTTATCTCTACTTTGTTGACCTCTAAGAAGGTTATCCGGGTTACCAATGAGAAAGCGCGCAGGGGCGCGCAGGGGCGGGGTTGATGAGGGAAAGAGTTCAGTTGAAGATGTCTCGTGTGTGTGCGAGGAGGGAATGAACGAAATAAAGTGTGCTTACTAAATAAACGTCGTGTTTATTCAACTTTACATGGTAGCAGAGGATGGTTTTGTCCTTTTGTACTTTTTGCATATTTCACAGTCACGTTTTATGGTTTGTTTACATCTTGCAATCTTGCAGTGCTGCCATGTCCAGTTTTTATAAGCATCTTTTAGTTTGTTATTCGACCTGGCTCATAAATCAATCAGGTTTAATGAGTTATTAGAGTGGGAGGGGAGCCATATTTTGGTGTTATTTCTAACACAAAGTTTATTAAGGAGCTATTTTTTTAACAACAAAGACAATCAGACAAACAAACAAAAACAAACCATCCCCAAGTGCTGCAAATTAAAAAAAATTTACAAATGTTAGTTTAAAAAAATAATAATATTACAAAAATAAAAAAATTAAAACAAAACTAAGGATGACAGAACTCTCTTAAAAAAATCAGAGTTTATGTAGAATGAATTGGAGAAGTTCCCAAAGTCTCCTGAATTTGTCCTGTTTGTGGTTGAGGCTCTAGGTAAATTTTTCTAAAGGAAGAAAGACTGAAAACTGAAAAGTCCACATGGAAATAGTCGGAATTTGAGAAGTAGACCAATTTAGTAATATGCATTTCCTGAAATGTAAGAGTTGTAAACAGAGGTTTGAGCTCTGAGTCAAAATATGGAGCTGTTTTTGATTGTGTATTTTTCTAGCAAGACCTGGCAACACAAATGATCACAGCTTGCACATCTTTCCCTGTATTTTCCTTTTCTGTTCATTTGTTTATTAGTTAGTCAACTCTGATGTGTTTTAGAATATGTCACTAAAATCTGATCACAATGCGTAGAACATTTGTATACAAGACCACTATCAATGGCTTTTACTGAGCTGTGAGTTAGTGTTTGGTTAAATTTGATCTGAAATGAACTGGTAATCATTGCTGTTAATTATATTTTAGCTTTGTGATGCCCACCAGACTATTCACTGGCTGGTTGTTCATCCTGTCTCCTTATCATCACCTGTTGCTTTAAAAAGGCAGGGCTTAAAATAATTAATTAATAATTCATTAATAAAACTTTTCTCTCTAAGGGCTCTGAGTATGTGAAAAAAGCAGGAGATTGTTGTGGAACATGTGTGCAAAAGAACTGTACTTACATGATAGGCAGCACCACATACATGCTTCAGGTAACTTCATGAACTTTTCTATTTACATTTAGTTCATCAATTAATGAAGCTGCACTTTTCTTCAGTCCTCTTATAGTCTGTCTGTGTTTTGTTAGGTTGGAGAAGTTCACAGTTACAAATGTGAAAACGTGACCTGTAGTGTCATCAGTGGCTCTCCTGTGACCACCAGGAACTCTGAGAAGTGCACTTACTTGAGCTCACTTGACTGTAAACTTGTAAGTATGTTTGACCAGTTTAATTTTACAGTTCAATTAGTTTCAATTTTATTTGTATAGAGCTTTTCAAGATATGTATCATTCCAAAGCAGTTTTACAAAAGGTTTGACACATTATTAAATTACATAAGGAAGGGTTAAGGTGTTGTGTATAGAGAGAACGGTGTTTACAGTAGCCTATAAGCCTATACATAGTTAATCTTGAGTTATAAATATACACTCACCGGCCACTTTATTAGGTACAACCTACCAGTACCGGGTTAGACGCCCTTTTGACTTGAGAATTGCCTTAATCCTTCGTGGCATAGATTCAACAAGGTACTGGAAGTATTCCTCAGAGGTTTTGGTCCATATTGACATGACAGCATCACGCAGCTGCTGCAGATTTGTTGGCTACACATCCATGATGCGGATCTCCCGTTTCACCACATCCCAAAAGTCCTCTATTGGATTGAGATCTGGTGACTGTGGAGGCCATTTGAGTACAGTGAACTCATTGTCATGTTCAAGGAACCAGTCTGAGATGATTCGCACTTTATGACATGACACGTTATCCTGCTGGAAGTAGCCATCAGAAGATGAGTAAACTGTGGCCATAAAGGAATGAACATGGTCAGCAACAATACTGTGGCATTGACATGATGCTCCTGGTACTAATGGGCCCAAAGTGTGCCAAGAAAATATTCCCCACACCATTACACCATCACCACCAGCCTGAACTGTGATACAAGGCAGGATGGATCCATGCTTTCATGTTGTTGACACTAAATTCTGACCCTACCATTCGAATGTCGCAGCAGAAATCTAGACTCATCAGAACAGAAAACATTTTTTTCAATCTTCTATTGTCTAATTTAGGTGAGCCTGTGTGAATTGTAGCCTCAGTTTCCTGTTCTTAGCTGACAAGAGTGGCGCCTGGTGTGGTCTTCTGCTGCTGTAGCCCATCCGCTTCAAGATTCGACATGTTGTGTGTTCAGAGATGCTCTTCTGCATACCTCAGTTGTAACGAGTGGTTATTTGAGTTACTGTTGCCTTTCTATCAGCTGGAATCAGTCTGGCCATTCTCCACTATCCTCTGGCATCAACAAGGCATTTGCGCCCACAGAACTGCCACTCGCTGGATATTTTCTCTTTTTCCGACCTTTCTCTGTAAACCCTAGAGATAGTTGTTCGTGAAAATCCCGATAGATCAGCAGTTTCTGAAATACTCAGACCAGCCCGTCTGACAACCAACATGCCACTTTTAAAGTCACTTAAATCACCTTTCTTCCCTATCCTGATACTCGGGTTTAATTGCAGCAGGTCGTCTTGACCATGTCTACATGCCTAAATGCATTGAGTTGCTGCCATGTGATTGGCTGATTAGAAATTTGCGTTATGAGCAGTTTGACTGGTGTACCTAATAAAATGACCTGTGAGTGTAGTGTACATTTCAGAAAGGTGGAGTCTATGCCACAGTCATGTCATGATTATATGTTCTATGACATTGTTTTCTCTTTATCTCTCTTTCTAAGGGCTCTGAATATGTGAAAGAAGAAGGAGATTGTTGTGGAACCTGTGTGCAAAGGAACTGTACTTACATGGTAGACAACACCATGAATACTCTTCAGGTACACTTGGAATTATTTGTCAACTTCATTTTTTTAGTTCATCAATTAATGAAGCTGCACTTTTCTTCAGTCCTCTTATAGTCTGTCTGTGTTTTGTTAGGTTGGAGAAGTTCACAGTTACAAATGTGAAAATGTGACCTGTAGTATCATCAGTGGCTCTCCTGTGACTGAGAGGAACTCTGAGAAGTGCACTTACTTGAGCTCACTTGACTGTAATCTTGTAAGTAGAATCTCTGTCCAGTGTTTCTTCATGTTTGGCAGCTGCTATTTTTACCTGTTTAAGTCTACCTACAGTGCCTAAACTAAACTAACTAAAGTAAATACTATGATTGACAGCACAGTTTTATGGTTTGTTTACAATTGAAAGTCTAGACAAAGTGCAGTCTCCACAATCTAGTGTTGCCATGTCCAGTTATTATAAGCATCTTCAAGTTTGCTATTCAGGTTGGCTCATAGATCAATCAAGTTTAAGTTATTAGAGCGAGTGTAGAGCCATATTTTAGAGGTTTTTTGAACAGGAAGCGTTTAGATTTATGGTAACACTTTACAATATGGTTCATTAATTAATGCATTTACTAACATGAACTAATCATGAACGACACATGTACAGCATTTATTAATCATATTTGAACATTTACTAATCCATTATTAACATGCAAGTCCATGCTTGTTTACATTAGTTAATGCATCATGAGTTAACATGAACTAACAATGAACAACTGTATTTTCATTAACTAACATTAACTAACATGAATAAATACTGTAGTAAATGTATTGTTCATTGTTTGTTCATGTTAGTAAATGCATTAATTAACATTAACTTATGAAACTTATTGTAAAGTGTGACCAGATTTATCTTAGTTTGTGGAGCTGTTTTTGATTGTGTGTTTTTCTAGCAAGACTGGGCAACACAAATGAGTTTGTGTGCACAGCTCATGCATTATTCCTTGTGATTTCTCACTCTATTCATTTGGTTATCAGTGAGTCAGATTGTGGGCAAACAAAAGAGAGGCATCTCTGATGTTTTAGAATATGTCACTAAAATATGTTCAATTTTTTCCATTAACTGAATTAATAAAACTTCTCTCTCTTAGGGCTTTGAATATGTGATACAAGAAGGAGATTGTTGTGGAACATGTGTGCAAAGGAACTGTACTTACATGGTAGACGAAACCACACACACTCTTCAGGTACATTTCATTAACTTCTCTATATTCTTTTAGTTCATTAATTAATAACCTTTCTTCAGTTCTCTTATAGTCTATCCCTGTTTTGTTAGGTTGGAGAAGTTCACAGTTACAAATGTGAAAATGTGACCTGTAGTCTTATTAGTGGATCTCCTGTAACTGAGAGGAACTCTGAGAAGTGCACTTACTTGAGCTCTCTTGACTGTAAACCTGTAAGTACTCATTGTCAAGTCCACACAATGCCTAAAGCTGAATTCACAACAATCGTCTTAAGAAAAAAAGGAACCTTTAAGAAATTTGTTGCAAAGTGCAAAGCTTCAGCACAATTTGCACATTTTTCTATAAATGACTTCAAATTTTTTTAAAGTCATTTTGATTGTGCAAAAAGTACTGAGATAAATTGTACTGTAACTATTTAAAACTGTAAAGGGTTTACTTTTATTTATTTGCACAAAGGATGTGCAATCTGTCATCCCGACTGAACTAAGGGCATCACAGAAATGAGCATGCACACTACTTGTTTTGTTTAGTACTGTGTTTATTATTTACAGCAGTGAACCTGCTCTGTCATCCTTATAACTACTGTGTGATTCAGGGGATTTTGATTGGTAGAACTGCCGCCAACCCCACCAAGTAGGACATTTATTTTGATCCTGGAACAACATTCCAATCAGCCAATCAGAATTGAGGGATATGTTAACACTTTGTGTTACGTTAAGGCTTGCGTTTGGGTTTATGCACTTCTACATGATTGTTATCCAACTATTATTCACCTCTGATTTTAGGAATAATCTACAGCTATGGTTGTGTTTAGGGGTTGGGAATAGGTATGGGTTACATTTTCGACAAAAATGATGTTCCTGGATCAATTTAGATCCTAATCCATGATCGCATCGTACTTTGCAAAATCATGACATAAGCTCACTTTATAGCTCTCCATTAGAGCTGCACGATTCTGGCTAAAATGAGAATCGAAATTTTTTTATTTATTTTTTTTGCCTAAAAGAAAGATCACGATTTTCTCACGATTCTGTAGATGTAAAATAAATGTTAATATGAGTGGGCTATTACTATTGTTTTTCTCAAACATATGGTAAAACAGCAATACGCCTGGTGCTGTACTGTTGGTTAAAACGCTAAATTTTGTATAGACTTGGAATGGTGGACTTGAACGGACTTTAGATTTGTCCTATTCATTAGTGCTGATGACAATTCTGTTGTTGAATTATTGTGTTTGAGACATATGCTTCAATCTGTCATTTTCTGCTGTCACTGACGTTAATTTCGTGAATACAGAAGACTAGGTGGGTTTTTGCATTTCGGTGGGCTTTGGATACTTTTTGGGCTGGAATCAGTCAGCTACATCTCGCAACACTGTGTGTGCTTTCGGTTTCATTATCACTGCTAAGAGTGGTTCACTTCTCACGCGGCTCCCAAACGATCACTTTGTGCCACAAACTGAATGTTATTTATAGCTTTATTACCTGTTACTCACAGCTTATGCAGGTTCTGTTCACTAAAGTAGACTTCATAAGTTCATTTAGATGGGCAAGCGAGCGCGCCCGCTCTGTGGTAACAGCTGACGGTCAGCTCACGTCACGTGTGATTTTGCAGTCACAAATACATTACATGAAGACAGAAATGACATTTTTGAGGTGAATTATATCTTATATATACAGCATGTGACTCTTTCAACACCATTTGGAGGTGTCCACGTTGATGAACAACTTATGTAAAACAATGTGAAGACTTCTGCGGCCACTATTGCTTCTCTCCTGATCTTGAAAATATGATTGACAGAATCGTAGAAATGCTGGATTAAGATCGTCTAGGGGGTCGAACTGAGATCGCGATCTCTTAACGATTAATTGTTAATTGTGTGTGTGTGTTTGCATTGCATATCTGCAAATTAGCTGCAGAAACTCCCCTTTTTATGGAATCCCTTCCCTCTTTACATACTCGACATTCCATCGCAACAGCACAAAACACCCACTGTCCTCGCTTTTAAACAAAAACAACTGCTGAAACAAGAGAGTTTCATAGCACTTAAATGTTTGTAATTAAGAAAATATTTGACTATATCCTCTTTCACACATACAGACTTACAGACAAAGAAGAGTTGCAACATTACCGGTAATTTGCCGGAAAGCTACGAGGAAGGAAAATTGCCGGAAAGTGCGAGTTCACGATAAGAACGCAGAAGAAAAATTGACGGAAAGAGCGAGTTAACGATTAGAAAGCACTGACGTCTACTCCAGCCAGTCAGAACATTCAGACACATTCAGATCTGCGCTGTTCATGAAAATTAAAGCATTTAAATATTTTTCCAGACACTTTTAGCCTCTAGATCAGGGGTGGCCAATCCTGTTCCTGGAGATCCACCTTCCTGCAGATTTCAGTTGCAACCCTTATCAAACACACCTGTCTTTAATTATCAAGTGGATTTCAGGTCCCAATTAATTGGTTCAGGTGGGTTTAATCAGGGTAGGAGCTAAACTGTACAGGAAGGTAGATCTCCAGGAACAGAATTGAGCACCCCTGCTCTAGATCAGGGGTTCCCAAACTTTTCAGCCCGCGACCCCCAAAATAACAATGCCAGTGACTCGCGACCCCCAATATCCTCTGAGGTGGTTATAAATACAGAAACTTTGCATGCAATGACGCAGACACACCAATTAAATTTATGTCAGTGCTTAAAATGTGCCAGAAAGTATAACCTGATGTTATGAAATCAAAATGCATCTGACGCTATTGCTCCCTTTAATATAATGTAATTACCCCAGGGGTCGCAATCCAATAGAACTAGTAACTATAAGCTACTATAGTAACTATATAGTATATAGTAACTATAAACGACTATTTTTATTTTCAGTTAAGTTATACATAAAATATGTTTATTCTTATGGTTTAATAAAAATAAATAGATTTTTGGAAATCACCAGGCGACCCCCCCCTTCATTGCCCCGCGACCCCTCGAGGGGTCCCGACCCCCACTTTGAGAACCACTGCTCTAGATGATAGTCACATAACATTGCCAACTGTGTAAAACACTGTATTTATTTTTATATGTACATCTCGACATGTGAAAGTGTTCCTGCCTATGTTTTCATCAAAGTTGTTCCCAATTCTTTTCCATTCACAGAATTTGTAATATCATCAAATGTGTAAACCTTTATCTGCGTCTCTGTGACATAGCAGCTGCACAATTGCTAAAGCTTTAAATAAATTTAAAAACATCAACTAAAACGTCTGACCCCTTCTATGTTTATAGATGCAAGCGCACCCAATTAGATGTCATTTCTGGTTTATGATGTCAGAATTTACCGGTATTTTGGAACAGATGTGTGAATGACCTTTTCGAGAAAGTTTCCGTAACATCCTTGCCCTTTTTTAATCTACCGGTAAAGTCGTTCCGATATTTTTCCGGATATTTACTGATATCACAGTGTGAAAGTGGCTTATGAAGACATTTCAGAAAAAAAAAATGAAAATTGAATGATTTATTTATGTAACTCTGGCTCTGAGTTTTGAAAATGAACTATAAACTTGTTTTTACCCTTCAAGTGCTTTGAATATGTGAAACAAGAGGACGAGTGCTGTGGAACATGTAAACAAACATGTTGTGTTTATGAAGCGCCAGACAACACCACGCATACTCTCCAGGTACGCTGTAAAAACACTTTTCTTTCTTTATTCTTCAAATGAATGCAACAATGTTCCTGTGCTGTTTTTCAATCCTCACGTAGCATGTCTTTTTATATAGAGTGGAGAGGCGTACACATCCAAATGTGAGACCGGTACCTGTCATGAAGTGAATGGCTTGTTTGAGACTGAGAAGAAGGTTAAGGAATGCCCTCCGTTTAATGCAGATGACTGCGACCCTGTAAGAGTTACTGTTGCAATCTTCTTTTAGTTAAAGGGATAGCCTTTTTGAGTTTCTTTTTTTTCTGCTAAACCAAGAAGAAGGTATTTTGAAGAATGTTGGAAAACGTTAGCCATTGACTTCCATTGTAGGAGAATAAGATACTATGGAAGTCAAGGGTTATCGGAAGGCCCACATGGAATCTGAGCGCGCAGAATTCCGCAGATTTTCCACAGATTTCAGATTTTAGCCCATCATTAATTCTGTTTATTTACTTAAGTAAATGTGTGTAAATCTACATTTATTCAGTTTTTAAATTAAGTACAGTAATTTTATTGACTAATATTAAAATTTTTATGTGATTTATGTACAATGCAGTTTGTACAGTCATATTTTTTGTCTTTTAGGAGAGATATTATATGAGAGTCTTGCTTTGTTTACCAAATGAAGTGAATCTAATTGGATTTGCATTTTTAATATTAAATAAAATTAGACAGACTTTTTTTTTTATTCCACATATTAAGATTTTATCTATAACACTGCCAAAATAATTCCGCAGAAAAACGCAGATCTTTACCAAAATTCTCAGCAGAAATAGCTAAAAAATGTCTGCAGATTCCGTTTGGCCCTGGTTATCAGTTTCCTGTATTGTTTAAAGAATCGATTTTGTGATTGATTGAAACATTTAAATTGATATTTCTTAAAGATCTTAACAACTATGAATGATGTTCAGTTTCATTTTTAGAAATACTTAATATTAATAATAAATAAATAATAGTTTCCCAGTACTGGGTTGTGGATGGAAGGGCATACTCTGCGTAAACATAGGCTGCAATAATTGGTGGTTGATTTAGCTGTGGTGACCTCTGATAAATCAGAGACTAAGCCGAAAAGAACTAGTCTCATACAATAAAGGAAGTGTCACAGAGTAACTCATGATAAAGTGTGGTGAATTCTTATTTGATATCTCTAGATGGCAGTGTCCACTATTTTAAACCTTGGAAACATTTGCTTATTGAAAATAAGTTGTACTTTTAACTGTGTTTTAGTGATAATTATTTTGAGAGGTGTGATGAAATGTATAATTGAAGCTTACTGTTATTTGTGTCTTTACAGGGAACAATCAAATTGGACAGTGATCAATGCTGTTACACATGTAAGATATTCCTTATACGAATCCTAACTCAAATTATTTTTGAACATTAAAGGGAATTTGTTGATTTTACCGTGTTGATGGTAACAGATGATGACCATTTTCAAGGTTTACCGTGATTTGGAAAAGTAAAGGTTACACCATTCCTACGCTATATGTAATTTTTTTTTATTTTTGTAGAACAACAGTAGAAAAGATCTCCAGAAATGTCTTTTAAATTGTAAAGAAATCTGTGCTTTTTGACAGGTTTACTGCTTCAAAATATTTTAAATGTTTCCCAAATGAAAACCATATTGTGTACAAAGGAGGAAAAAGATTTTGTTTACCCAGACATTTATAAACAATATATTGTAGAGCAGAGATAACAGTACTGTGAAACTAATATTTTTATCCAAGGTAAGGGGTGCCGTTGGGGGGAGGGGGGAAAGTTCTAAGGTCCCATACATTTAAGGCGCCCCCAAAGACATTATCAATGGCCCCTGCAACTT